CATGTAGTGTCCCCAAAAGGGGTGATTTTATTAAGGGGGTATTGCATCATGAGTAGAGAGGGGATTTTGGCGTTTTTTTAATGTGTACCTTCACCCAGACGTGTTTTAAATTATACACCTCCCTTTCCGACTTAGGGCCCTGCTCGATTAAACGCGACTCGATTACGACCGTTTTTTTTGTCCCAAAATTTTGGGAAATAAAAAAACCCAAATTTGTGTTGTACACAGTGTTTACCCAAAAACCTTACAGTTTTAAAATTCAGTAAAAAACAGCAAAAAAAGAAAAGGAAAACAAAAAAATACCAAAATAAACAGTAAAAAAAAGTTTTTAAAAAAATTTTTTGGGTTGATATTCAGTAGAAAAAGTTCGCTTTAGACCTTTTTGGGATTTACGCCGGTTTCTCGGAACCAAAACCCTTGGGTCAAAGTCGGTAGGGGGTTTTTTGGTACGGTACACATAAGTTAATTATCAGGTACTTATAAAAAATTGCAGAATTTTTAAAACACTTAAAATTTTTGGAAAAAGTTTCTGACATAATAATGGGGTTTCGGAAAATATAAACAAACCGGGTGGGGGGCCCCGTATTTGAAAGATCGTTTTGCCCGTATAGAAAATTTTTGGTCATAATTTGACATCGGTTTTTGGGAAAGGGCCGTAAGGCGAACGCTTTTAAAGGGGGGCCCTTTTTCTGTATATATTTTAAAAACTGTTGTATTCTGGGCCCCTCGGGAAAAAAACAGTGTTTATTTTGTGATTTGAAGTGAAAGTTTTTGAATGATATAAAAGTATTTTTTTTTGGGGGTTTTTTCTTTCTTTTTTGGGTCCCCCTGCCTCGGGGGGGAAGGGGCCCCGATTTTTTTTGGGAAAAAAAAAAAAAGTGTTTAGGGTTGATAACCCTTTTAGGTTTTAAGTCTTTTGATGTTTTGATGTTTCTTCTTGTTTTTCTGAAGTACCAGTAGGGATTGCTGATTTCCTTGCAGTTCGCCTTTGCCCTTTAGGGTTTCGGCCCTACTAGTACGGCTTACGCACCAGGGTTTTTGTTTTACATGTACTAGGGACGCCTAAAATTTAGCTCCCTCAAAAACTTGTGAGGGAAAGCTGGGAGGCCTACATTATGAAAAAATGGGTTTTATTTTGGTCAGTGTGGCAGTATTAAAAAAAACCTGCAAACACCGTGCCCTAATTTAGAAAAAAAAACTTTGACCGGGGTTTTTGATTTTAAAAAAAACTTTACACTGTATTTTCGTTTGGGATTTTTTGTTGTTTTTAGTTTTCTTGGGTTTATTCTTTAGAAAGGAAAAACATGTTTCAGAAATTGAGAGGGTTTTTATGATTTTACAATGAAAAGTACCTTGAAATTGAGCGCAAAGAAGCAGAAATGTTCGATTTTTACCAAAAATTCCCAAAAATAAACAAATCATGCTTTTGGTCCAATACCCCGTCAACTGGTGGTCTAATATTCTTTACAAGGCGCCGATATTATTTTTTACCATTTTTTTTTTTTCACCCAATGCAGTAGTCTGCTAACAGTAAATCTTCTGTTTTTTGTGAGAATAAAATTCAAAGTGGAAAGCAAAAGAATTTTTAGAGGAGCTTTGGCGTGGGAATGATGAACGAGGAAATGTTCATTTTGTGCCGGAAGGTTTTTTTTGTTTATTTTGGACCCTATTTGGAAATTGGCATCTTTTGAAAATTGTGTGAAAATTGGCAAAATTGCTAAATTCTGACCACTGTATTGGATAGTTGAAATTGGTAAATGGGTGGTTTCTTGCACTCATTCGATAGAAAAAATGGAGTTCTAGCGAAATATTTTATGATTTTTGTCGACTAGTACACTGGAATTGGCCGAAAATAGGGCTCAAAGTGGGCAAAATCACCGATGCGTAAACGTCGTCGAGACCACTAACTTCGCGAGCGCATAATTCCGTAAGTTTTCCATCAAATTTCATACTTTTGGTGTCATTACGACCGGGAAAAGATTCTCTATCTTTTCATAAGAAAAAATAATTTTTTTTTTTGAAATTTGGGCGACTGAGAACAAGTATCTGAGAGGGCCTGTCGACCCTGAAAGGGTTAAACGCTCGAGTAAAAAAAATCCTATTTACAGGCCTATCTACACATTAAAGGGTAGTTCTGATAATTGAATGGTGGTTTCTTGTGCTCATCAGATAGAACAGAAGGCATACTAGCAAAATAGCTAGGAATTGGGTAAAACTGAGAATTGGAATCGCTTAAAATAGCACTCAAATTGAATGAAATTGCCAGTGTGTAAATAGCTCCCAGACTGCCAGCTTTGCACCTGCTGAATTCCGTAAGCTTTCCATCAAATTTTGCATTATTTGGTATCATTACCTTCAGAAACAAGATTACTAATTCCGAAGATAAAATTATTATTGTTATTCCTTGAAAATTCATGATACTGTAGCATTTTTATTTTCAGAGGTCATGACACTGAAAGGGTCAGATGTATTTTTGTGTAATTTGTCAAACATTTAATATGTTTATTAAAGTAGTATAACTGAATCAGCATGTCTTAATATTGACATGTTAATTAGAAAGGTACCAGCTTCATTAAGTTAGTCATCATACCCATAAACAAAACTAGTTTTACATTAAAATTTTACATATAATATTACATACAAAATTTATATACTAATATACTGTTCTTTGTTCTTATGTACTTATGACCTGTACTTGTCTAAATACAAGCATGATGTTCCTCCTTAAAATACTTTCATCATTCAACACTTTCACCACACTCACACATTATCACTGCTTTTGCAGAGGTGCTCAGAATACAACAGTTTAGAAGCATATACGTATAAAGATACACAACATATCCCTCCAAACTGCCAATATCCCAAACCCCTCCTTTAAAGTGCAGGCATTGTACTTCCCATTTCCAGGACTCAAGTCCGACTATATGAAAATAACCGGTTTCCCTGAATCCCTTCACTAAATATTACCCTGCTCACACTCCAACAGATCGTCAGGTCCCAAGTATCATTCGTCTCCATTCACTCCTATCTAACACGCTCATGCCGCTTGCTGGAAGTCCAAGCCCCTCGCCCAAAAAACCTCCTTTACCCCCTCTTTCCAACCCTTTCGAGGACGCCCTACCCCTCCTTCCTTCCCCTATAGTTTTATATGCTTTCCATGTATTCTACTTTGATCCATTCTCTCTAAATGAACAAACCACCTCAAAAAACCCCTCTTCTGCCCTCTGATAATACTTTTATTAACTCCAACTCCTCCAAATTTTCCCACACTCCGAATTTTCTGCTAATATTTACCCCACATATTGCCTTAGACAGGACATCTCCACTGCCCAACCGTCTCCTCGCTGCTGCATTTACCACCCAAGCTTCACATCCTTATAGAGTATTGGTACTACTATACTTTCATACATTCCCTTCTTTCCCTCCATAGATAACGTTTTTTGACTCCACATATACCTCAACGCACCACTCACCTTTTTTCCCTAAATCAATTCTATGATTAACTCATCTTATAAATCCATCCGCCGACACGTCAACTCCCAAGTATCTAAACATTCACTTCTTCCATAACCCCCTCCCCAATTTGATATCCAATTTTTCTTTATCTAAATCATTTGAACCCTCATCACCTTCTCTTTTTCTATGTTCACTTTCAACTTTTTTACCCTTTTCACACATTCTCAAACTCATCCACTAACCTTTGCAATTTTTCTTTAGAATCTCCCCTAAGCACAGTATCATCAGCAAATTCCCCTTTGAATTTGATTCCCCATAATTTAATCCACCCCTCTCCCGAACACCCTAGCATTACTTCTTTTACAACCCCCTCTATAAAATATTAAACAAAACCCTGGTGACATTACACATCCCTGTCTAAGACCTACTTTTACCAGAAGTAATTCCCTCTCTTCTACACACCCTAACCTGAACCTCACTATCCTCATAAAGCTCTTTACAGATTTTAGTAACTTACCACCTTTCCATATACTTGCAACATCTGCCACATTGTCCTCTATCCACTCTATCATATGCCTTTTCTAAATCCATAAATGCAATAAAAATTCCCTACCTTTATCTATATACTGTTCACATATATGCTTAAATGTAAACATTGATTACACATTCCCTACCCAGTCTGAAGCCTCCCTGCTCATCCACAATCCCACATTCTCTCTTTCCTCTAATTCTTTCAATTTTAAACCCCACCGTATACTTTTCCTGGTATATTCAGTAAACTTATTCCTCTATAATTCTTACAATCTCTTTTGTCCCCTTTCCCTTTATATAAAGGGACTATACATGCTCTCCACCAATCCCCAGGTACCTTCCCCTCTTTCATATATTTATTAAACAAAAGTACCCAAACCCCTCCAACACTATATCCCCCCTGCTTTTAACATTTCTGTCATGATTCCATCAGTTCCAGCTGCTTTACCCCTTTCATTCTACGTTTAATGCCTCACGTCCTCCACCACACTTACATTCTGCTCTTCTTCACTCCTAAAAGATGGTATACCTCCCTGGCCAGTGCATGAAATTACCACCTCCCTTTCTTCCTCAACATTTAAAAGTTTCTCAAAATATTCTCGCCATCTACCTAATACTCCCTCTCCCCATCTACTAACTCCCCTACTCTGTTTTTAACTGACAAATCCATACTTTCCCTAGGCTTTTTTAACTTGTTTAACTCACTCCCAAAATTTTTTCTTATTTTCATTAAAATTTCTTGACAGTGCCTCTCCCACTCTATCATCTGCTCTCCTTTGCACTCTCTCACCACTCTCTTCACCTTTCTTTTACTCTCCATATACTCTGCTCTTCTTATAACACTTCTGCTTTGTAAAAACCTCTCATAAGCTAACTTTTCTCTTTTATCACACCCTTTACTTCATCATTCCACCAATCACTCCTCTTCCCTCCTGCCCCCACATACTTAATATTGATATTTTTTAATGCTGAGCTATCAGTTTCACATTAAAGTGCCATCATCTATTTGAAAATGCATTGGCTTGCCTGTAGACTGTGAATGGAGAGGAGTGGAGGCCAAATTAGTGCTACACCACGAAGAAGGTTTTACCTTGCTGTCGACGCACGATGTCTCTGGTGGTAGAGGTCGTGTTCTGTGGACTCAGCCATTCCACAAGTTGCTCATGAGCTCTGATGATGGGGCAAGGTTAATTTGGCTACGGTTTGATGGAGATATGGAAGTGGTAAGTTTGGTGTTAACTCTTGTACTGTTTTTTTGTTTTTAACCCTTGAACTGTCCAAACAGATCTACATTCACATGCTTAGTGCTCCAAAAGTAGATCTACATTTTTAACATATTTTCAAATATAACAAAAAAAAAGTAGATCAGTTTTTTTACACATTTTCAAATGTAAAAAAAGAAAAGGAAGCTCTACGTTTTTTTACATACTTTCAAATGTTGAAAAAAACGTAGATCTACGTTTGGACAGTTTAAGGGTTAAATTTGCTCTTTGCCTTCCTTTTTTTCTCGCTCCCTCTGCCTCCATTTACTTCATATACCTCTTTTTTTCCCTCTGCCTCTTTTTTTTCCTCTTCCTACTTCCTTATACTCTTCCTTTTGTGCTGGAGCTGAAACAGAAACAGAAAAAGTATTTTTCATATTAACTTAATTGTTGTATGAAGTACAGTAGAACTCCTGTATCCACTGATTCAGTATTTGCAGTTTCAATTATCCACTGTTTACTGTGGCCCCCCAAAATTATAATTTTGCATAATAATAATGGCCCAAAGTGCAAAAGTAGAGAAGCTGGCAATTGTTCAAACCCTGAGAGAAGCCATGAAGTGCTTCCCATCAGTAAAAAAGTGATAATTCTCCAATTATTGTGCATAATTTATCAAGTAAACTTTATAATAGCTATGTATAGGGCTTATTTATGGGGTTTGCAACTATCTGCTGTTTCAGTATCCACGGCAGGTAGTACTTGGAACACATCTCCTGCGGATATGGGAGTCCTACTGTGTATGTTATCTTTCCATTCAGTAAGAATAGTCTAAAAATTAATAAAAATTTAATAAGAAAATCCATGGGTAAAATTCATATAAGTAAATTTGTACATTATTAGCTTAGGAGAGTTCATATTATGTTTGTCCTTACAAACAGGCAGTATTGGACCTATTGTGTCTCTATTTGTATTCATTATATAACCCAGTATATATACCCCACCTCTAGGCAATATTTAGCCCTGGATGTCTCTACCTATATTTAATATTTTACAGTTTGTTCCCATCTATAGGTAATATTTTACTCATTTTTATTCAGTAGTTGACTGTCATGTCCTCACCTATATTCAGTTAGCACTGATTATGCCTCCACCTGTATTCAGTATTTAGCCCTGTATTTCCCCAGCTGTATGCAGAATTGCATGCCTTAGATGCCTGTAA